ATGCATAGCTGAATAATCTATAAGGCATACTTATAAGGCAGGGTAATGTTCATATGTCAGTCACAGTTACATGTTATTTAGTGTTCTTTTGATTTATCTTGTCAAGGTAACTTTTAATAGGACTGTCCAACTGCTCCTGAGTTTAGCTAGCCACGGCAAATCTCCAAAAGGAAAGACTTGAAACAGTTTGGGAGTACAAGCCTGTTTCAAGGTTTTTAAGTTCTTTATTTTACTTGCCTGAGTATTGCAAACCTATAGTTACTTTTAACAAAATAAACTGCATTTTTGTACTAACCCTTTTATCTTTAGTAATAAGCATGACCTTTAACTTAGCTGTCATATACAGTCCAGCCTGATACCACAAGCAGAGCAAATATTTACCCTCCGCGGTCCTGGGTCCTTTGTGATGTGTACCATCCAGTCAAATGCTACAACTCTATAGAGCTGAGGAACAAGCTTTAATATTATGCTGCAAGGACTGCTTTGCAGTTTGGTGAGATGATGGTGGTACTTGTGGACATCAGTTTCCTTTAACAGGAACCAGGACTTCATTATCATGGGATTCCAAACATAGGAACTGTCTGTATAGGATAAAAAAAACAGATCTACACAACCTGGTGGAGATCAGATGAAGTGTAGATAAGAAGAAAGCAGAACCAGGTGGTTTATGGGCCTGGGAGAGGAGCAGAGCTTCTTATCTTCACAGTATCACAAAGTGGTTGAGGCTGGAAGGGTTCACTGGAGGTCATCTAGTCCAACCTCACTTCTCAAGCAGGGTCACCTGGACCACATTACTCAGGATTGTGTTCAGATGGTTCTTGAATATCTCCAGGGAGGAAGACCCTACAGCTTCTCTGGGCAACCCCTTCCAATGCTCAGTCACCCTCACAGTAAAGTTCTTCCTCATGTTTAGGTAGAACTTCCTGTGTTTCAGTTTGTGCCTGTTGCCTCTCATCTTATTGCCTGGCATCACCGAGAAGAGTCTGGCCCCATCCTCTGTACACCCTTCCTTCAGATTGATCAAATCCTTCCTGAGCCTTCTCTTTTCTAGGTTGAACTGGACCAGCTCCCTCAGCCTTTCCTCATATCAGAGGTACTTCAGACCCTCTACTCTTTCTAGTAGCCCTTTGCTGGACTTGCTCCAGGAGCTCCATGCCTCACTTGTACTGGGGTATCCAGAACTGTGCACAGTACTCCACGTGAGGCCTCACCAATTCTGAGTAAAAGGAGGGTCACCTCCCTCAAACTACTGGCAGTGATCTTCTTAAGGCACCCCAGGATACCATTGGCCTTCCTGGCTGCAGGGGCACATTGCTGGCTCATGGACAGCTTGTTGTCCACTAGTACCCCCATGTCCTTTCAGCAGAGCTACTTTCCAGCAGGTGAGCCCCCAGCCTGTCCTGGAATATGGGGCTATTCCTCCCCAGGTGTAGTACCCTGCACTTGCCTTTGTTGAATTTCAAAAGGTTCCTTTCTGTCCATCTTTTTAACCTGTCTAGATCCTTCTGAATACAGCAAAGCACTGCGGGCTATCAGCCACTCACCCAGTTTTGTATCATTGGCAAACTTGTTGAGGAGTCACGCTATACTTCATCCAAGTCATTGATGAAGTTGAACAAGATCGGTCCCAGTTTTGACCCTTGGAGGACACCGCTAGTTAGAGGTTTCCACCTACACTCTGTACCACTGACTACAACCTGCCATTAGTTTGGATGCTAGGACAAATTTCTTCACCAAGAGGATGATCAGGCATTGGAACAAGCTGTCCAGGGAAGTGGTGGAATCACTGTCTGAAAGCATTCAAAAAAAACCATGTAGATGAGGCCTACAGTTTAGTAGTGGACTTGGCAGTCCTGGGGTAACAGTTGGACTTGATGATCTTAAAGGTCTTTTCCAACCTAGTTGATTTTATGATTCTATGATTCAGCCAGTTCTCAATCCACCTCACCATCCACTCACCCAGCCCCCACTTCCTGAGCTTGTCTAGGAGGATGTCATTTCCACCCAATATGGGCCATGACTCAAAGGAACTGAGTCATAGTAATATAGCTATTCACAATCTCATTTTCTATGGATTAGCACTTCCATTGTGAAGATTTTAACACCAAGCAGTGTTCTCCACAGAAATTAAGCCCTCAGTTGAATTTCTGCAGCTGGGCCTCTAATGACTTCTGGCCATCTGAAAAGCTCCACAGAGTGACAGAGTGACATTAGACACGAAGACCAAATGTGGTTCTTCCAGATCATTGCTGAGTGTGAGTGACACCAAGGTGGCCGAAGGAAAGCCAGTATCCATGCTCTAGATGCCCTTTGGTAAAGCAGAAGAGTTAGTTCCCAGGAGAAGCATGTGAGGCTTTCAAAATTTCAGTCCCCTATAAGAGGGAAAAATCAGTGATGGAGCTTTCAGGAAAGAGGAAACTTCAGGAAACCCAGGCTTCGGAGTGGCAGGCTGGGATAAAGGGATATAAGCAATGACATTCATCTAGAAAAATGATGTTTCATTGTGATTTTGGGATCTGGGCTTCATGGTCTGAGGCTGGCCACTTCACTCCTTTAGGTTTTCACCCCTCAGCTGCAGCCTCCTCTTTTGAGGGATACACCACAGATGCATAAGTGTTGTTTTTTTTTTCTGAGACCTAAATGTCAATATAATGCATTGCTATAAGAAGCAAATATTTACTTAAAAAGTGCACAGCTTGAAAGGTCTGCAGACCCTTGGTATTTGAATTTTTCTCCTAGAATCGTGGTGCTAATGCAGAGACCACTGTGGTTTCATGAAAGAGGAGGGATGCCATAATCCGTAACATTTCTCCCCTGCAAATGTCTTTGTGGGAGGGTTGGAAACTAGAAGCAGCCACTGGATGGCAATGTTTCACACACAATTTCAGCCTCAACAGTTTAATAAGACTTGGAGTGCAGGTGCTCATCTGATTAAAACTTTCATCCAAATCCTAGTCTAACACTTATTTCAATTCCATGTTTATATTGCTGACAAAAATTGAACTGACAGTTGTATTATGGAGAGGCTATTGGCTCTGCATAGCTAAGGTCAAAACTTGTTTTCCATTATAAACTCAATCTTGACCTCACCTGTGAAATTCTCAGTGAAGACCATTCCTCTTTCACACATTGGGCCCACAATAAGTAGCAAAGAGAGATGTTTTGTTTACATTTCAAATAAGTTAGGCAAAGTATTAATTTCTTTCAGGTCTATGGACACCTGGGTATTAAAATACGTTGTAAGCTTTTTTTGCCACACTTAGCAGTATCCCCTCTGTGAAACTTCCTATGAAATTCAAGACCCCAAGGACATCATGTGCTGGGCTGAAAGGTTCACTGGGTAAAATGGGAAGTTATTCCAGCTGAATTCACCCTTCCTTATGTTTTGCTGCAGTGCAAATTCACCTAACATTTCTGAACATTTTCAGAAAATGAAAGCCTAGTGACAAGTAACACAGTGACAGGTGCAGGTATTCTCAGAAAGCAATTTTTTACACTCATCTGTCACTATTCATGCTGGGAGCACTCACACCTGGATTCAGCTAGAAAACAAGGGTAGCGCAAATCAGGTGACTTGGCTGGCAAATTACAGCTGACCAACATGGCTCAAAAAGAAAATGCTGAACACTTTAGAGAACTAAGATAGCATAGCTATCTAACTTTTTCCTCTTTTAAAAAGAAAAATGTACCTCTTTGGGAGGCAATATGAAATGAGAAAGTTGAAGAATCCTCATTGTTTGAAAAATTTATTGTGAAAAAGCAAAACACTGAAAATCACTGATGATATTATTTGCTTTGCTTCACTTACCATGTTACAAAAGCCTCCTTTCTCTCTATACACCTGCTTTTGTTATCTATTTCTGACCAGCACATACCTGACAGGTATGCCACATGTCAGGCAAGAAAACAGAAAATTACTGTTCAAAAGAAATTATTCACAGATCTTTGTTTCTTGTGTCAGTAATAATTGTGGGAGTCATGTTCACAGCACATTCCTTCCTGCCTGGGCCAATATAATGTGGTGTTTACTGGGTCTAAGGAAACCAGCTGCTTTGGAGGAGGGTTGTCTTTTGAGATATTTCTTGATGCAGTCATCCAGGAATGGATACACTTTTTACTCTGCCACTGGTTTTGAGCATCAAGCTTTGCATACCTGCTGTCAGAGAATTTGGAATTGCTCTATATGGGAAAAATCCAATCTCATTCCAATATTGGCACAGTCTTTGAATCCTCTGCTTTACTTCTAAGGATCATAGAGTATGCACCTAGCAGATTGTGTGTAACAGATAAAAAGGTGTACAAAGAGGAGGTCTGAAAGCCTGATATTGCTGTAGAAGAGAGCTAAGGTTAGAACTAAGCTCTGACGATCATTTTCACTTTCAAGCATTCTCAGTATAGTCATACAATGTGTTCCCTAACTTCGTAATGGCTCTCTTAAAGAATTAAAGTGCTCTTATATTTTACTTCTCTGATACTGACAGGCACTCTGATACTGTACACAAGCTTGTGCCTGGGAAGTACATCACTTCTTTGCTGCTGTGTAGAGCAAAATTCAGAAGGTAAATCTGGATTTGATCAAGCCATTTCAAACTTGGTACTTCCACCTTTTTTGATCATGAATGATGACATTCCACAAAGGTACATAAATTGTTATAATACAAAACTGAGGAGCAGCCAGGCAATAAGGCAGAAAATAAATTAGACTTACATTGCTTAGGCATTGCTGAGAAAATGATGTAACCTAGTCTTAGCAGTAGCATAGAGTGATACCATTTGCGTCACTGAAAATCATTAATAAGGTCACCATTTCTCTAAGGAGCTATTGCTTCAGGTGCTACTAACCTGAGTGTGAATATTTGTTTTGACAGGACTTTCATCAGTTTGCACAGATTCAAGTCAATTATTTAATAACGGAGATATTTTAAAAATAATTCTAAGTTTTCATGCAATTAAAGCAGATTGTTAAAACCCTGAACACATTGCCCAAATATGTTTTACAGGGTATATCATAAATGAGTTTATGTAAACAAGCATCTGTTGATGGCATAGGAGCTCAGGTTCTTGGCTAATACAGAAAGGGTTAGTCTCAACAGCACTTAACAGCCATTTGCATAACCTGCTCTAAATACCCAGGGCCTGACTTTTTTAAGTGTATGATTTTATTGAAATGAGTGAGTTCAAGCCATAGGCCTAATATATGGCTGCAGCTATGCATGCAGATCTGGCCCCAGGAATTCACATTAAACATTCTGCATGCATAGAACATGCCAATAGTTATCACCTAGTAACACTTCAGTCTAAATCCCCAGCCCAAAATCAGATAGGACCTTTTGGAAGGAACAAGGGAATACTCTGTGCTGCTGAAATACTAAATGATTTAACTGCCTTTTTCCTTTTACAAAAACATCAAAGTTTTCCTCTCTGGATCAAAATGTAATATTTTATTTTGGGAAATTAAATCAGGACAGACTGCATATTGACACATGTGGGTACAAATCACCGTAAGAGTTGTCCTGGTTTATCCCTTCAAGTATTGAAATTCCTGAATTAACTATGCATATGCGTGAAGCTAATCATGCAGATTTAAGTCTTTGGCGTCAAGTTTATGTGTCAACACTGGAGATCCTTCAGGATTTTGTGGTGGGGTGAAGTCAGATTAAGCAGACTTCCAAAATACAGTACCTTCAATTTTACATTTTAGCAAGCCTCTTACTGAAGTCATTAGGACTTTTCCTGAATGCAAGTGCAAGTTTTCCCCCACTGTTTGTGCAAACTAGTAATTTTCTCCTGTCCTCAAAGACTGCCTTTCTAAAATACTCTCCCTGCAGAAGCACATAATCAAATTTCAGCAAGAAAATGAAATTAAGGAAACAGAGAAGAATGAAGAACAATACTTCTACAAGTAAAACTTGGGGGTGACTTAAGGACAGAATGAAGGAGGGCACTTAAAGTAACATATCTGGAAAACATTTCTACTCAAGCTTCTGGATATGAGCACTCTATTTCTGATGGCATGGAATTACAAAATTTAAAACAGTCTTGGGAAATTGATGTCCCAGTATAAATATTGCAAGAGGCAGTAGTGAGAGGTTTTTAGAGGGAAACCTTCTGTAGTACATCATTGCCAAACACAGAATTGGTCCAGATACACGGTGAAACAGTACGTAAAATGAGACTGGAATTTTTCAGTGTGGTAACTTTATTGTTCTATGAGGCCAACTAGATGTGAGAGAAATAGATTGATTTGATAATGCAGTTAAATCATCATATAAATTGTCACTATTAAAATTTTTTGCAAATATTAATGACATGAAAGAGACTTGAGGGATTGCATTCATTTCCTATTGAATACGACAATATCCTAATACTTTCTCTACATCAGTTTTGTTAATTTTCAGTGTACTGACATCTGTTTAGTGATAATATTTGTCAAATCCAGGAGCTTATTAAATAATGGGAAAGGGAGAAGGAAGAACAAGACTGCATGGGAGGACATGTAAGACCTAAGATATGGTTTAGTGCTGTGTGCTTGTATAGCTGGGTGGATAGGACTGCCAGGATGGAGACTCAACTGGTCCAGGACCTGACAGCTACTCCATGCCTGAAGCTTTGAGGGAGGCTTCAAAAAGTGTGACAATCAGCAAACAATTGACCTTTTAGACAAATGCCTTCTTTTGCTTCATCAGTTGTTGGCTTGTCAGCTCTGCACACAAATTGAGATTAGAAGGCAGCTATCCTCTTTAATGCAGGACTGGTGTTTTACCTCCAAGTTGCTTTAGAAAAATAGTGCTTCTGTCCTTAAAGTGTGACACCTCTGGGTGCCAAGGATGTTGACACCAGCATTTTCTACAAAGATCTTTTAATGGAAGATCTCACTGAAGTGTCACTAGTGAATACCAGCCCAGCCCTCTTGCTTCGAGGCTGAGCAAGGGCTGGAAGATGTCAACAGGAAGGTCTTTCAAAGCTGGGAAGCAGTGGCTCCTCAGCTGGTCCCTCTGGCCTGCCCCACCTTCATTCCATGTGTGATGCCACCTATCACAAGGCAATGTGCTCCGTCCACCACTCAGTGTCAAACTGATGCAGACAGGCAAGTGCTTCTGCAGCTTTTCTTCTTTAACAGAAAGGGAGGCTGTAGGCAATGAGGGCACATCAGAAATACCTGCCTTGTGACAGCTGTGAGAGGAACAAGAAGACCACCTTGCAAGGAGATGGAGAGGTCAAACCTCTCTGTGAACAGAGGAGCAAAAGAGGTGGAATGTGAAAGCTGAGGTCAGAGGAAAATTTCCCATGAGGCTAGTCCGTCTGCACCAAGAACAGGAGGCAGAGAGAGCCAGAAGCTTGAAAGCGTTCACAAGAAAGCTGCCTTTTTGTTTTGTTCCCACTAAATGTGGGAAATATAAAATATTTTATGCCTTGACAGAAGGTTTTTCCCCATAGGAAATTAAAAAAGAGAAGGATTCCTGAGAAAACTTTTAAGATGGAGAGGATGTTTTTGGGTTTTGTAAGCCAAAGAACAAATGTTTTGAAGGCTGAAAGGGAATATTTTCTGATTTGGTTATTTTGTCAGCAGCAACCGTGTGTTTTACTAGAAAATAAAAGCCTTCACAGCTATTTTATGCACCTTTATTTCCCAGCAAAATGCTTTCATCCATTTCTTTTCTCATCCTTGCAACAGCTCCATTAAACTCTGCTTTATTTGCCATTTCTTGCTTTCATTATTTTGGTCCACACGCAATTTTGTGAAATGGACCTACAGATTTTTTTTTTTTTTGGCAGAGAACTTCTGTCAGGTTTATAAAGAGAATGTGGCTCTAAAGTGTCAGAGAATCACACACTAAATTGTGTGTCTCCTCTCTCACTGCTGCTCTCACAGATTTTGGATTCTCATCCATTTTTCAGAGTAGACAAGATTTCTGATTGCTATCTGATTTTACTATAGCATATCTCCAGCAGTGGTATAATCTCTAGCTGTGATACCACTTAGCAGTTCATATTTTTTAAAAACAATACCTTAAATTTTAATTCAATAACGAGCTTCTTTTAAACACCCAATTGAATTGTACTGGTTTTTAGCTTTGTTTGATAGCAAAGCCCTTTAGCTGTAAATATACAAAGAAAGCCTAATTTCCACCTTTTAAAGAGAAGACTGTATACTTGTTTTACTGATATGTGAGAAAGACTTGAAGAAGGTAACCATTGCAGAGACTGATTCTGAATTCTCAGCAACTTTCAAAGTAAGTAGGAGGCTTAAAATCACCAGCTTCAGAATTTTCAGAATCTAAAAATTTGTTGTGAAAGTGAAAAATATCTTTCGGTCTGAAGCTACAGGGAGCAGTGTCTGTTACGTTATGACTTATGAATGATGATAAGTAGAAAAGCAGAGAGTTTCATATATTTAAGAGGGCTTTATTTTGGATCTGAGGAACTACACATATGAAAGAAGGGAAAATTACTATATAATGTTCAAGAAATGTGTTTGCTATAACTTTTTACATAACTAACACCTAGTTATTTTCATAACAGAATAGTCAGTTTGTTGTTTTTAGTTTTGTTTTGTTTTTTTCTTAAACCAAAGGTAATACAGTCTTTGGAGAACCTACTGTTAGACATACTCAGTGTAGAATATCACAGCCTTGTTTCGGATGCTTAAGTGGTAACAGAATTTGAACTGATGCTTGGGAGAGGCAGAGGATAGTGCTCCAGCTTCCTGAAAGCTCCATGAGCAGGAATCTTGATATTTTGATTATATTTTTCTTTTCTTTGAGGTGCCAGATGCCTGTTGTGCTGCATAAGTAAACAAAATGCCTTTACTGATCAGGACAGTGAGAGGAAAAAATGCATATTAACATTGAAATGCTAGAATCCATTTTCTTCTGCATTACTGGCATTAGCCTGTCTGTGGAGTGGTCTGAGGCAAAGCATTGAGAGCTTCTATTGATTAGTCCTACTCTGTGTATGGAATTTGCATCTTGGTTCTTGATAGCAATTTGTACAAAATTATGCTGCTGATGGGTTTGCCAACAGGTCTGTTGAAGCCACTGCAGTCTGCCTGAATAACTCTCTAGGGTAGCTCTGGTAATTGTATTTGTGGAGATACGGGATTGTTAGGGAAATATAATTTGAAAATATAATTTAAAAATGAGATCATTCTAGGCAGGAAAAGGACAATCTTGTTCATTGAGTCCACACCTCTACTACATCTTGCGTTTTCTGTATTTCTGAGTTTTTCATTCAAACTACACTGTTTATTGCCACCATTACTTTTAGTATTTGCTTAATTTGTACGCTGGAAACTGAGAAGGGGGATCAGTGAGTGTCTTATTGCTCCACTAAAATATTGCCTTTATATCAGCTTGTCTGGAGTTTGTTGGGTCTGGGGAAGGTTGATCATCACACATTTGCACTTGTTAGCAGTTCTGGAAGAGCCTCACAGGAGAATGAAATGTTTTTAAGGTCTTTTGCAAGAGAAGATTAACAGATCACTGTGACTACAATCACAGCCAAGGCGCTCAAAAAACAGTTCACTTCTGAGACCAGCATTGGTCCATGATGGCTTTGCAGGACAACCCTTTGATGCTTGTAATTAATAGCTGTCTTTTCCAGAAAAAGGTTGGAGTGACATTCACCCACCAACAGCAGAGGGAGGATAGATGAAAACTACTTATGCATAGCACCTTTTCCTTTCACCAACTTTTGTTTTCATTCAAAACTACCAGCTGAAATACAGTCATACACTCTGGAGCCTGTTGGATTGCTTTGCCAAGGAACACTCTTGTTTGCATAATGGGACCAGCTGGTCATGGCAAGTTATGTGGTGCTGGCAGCTGCCTCTTTTCAAACAGCTTTAGTGGCTCCTAGGCCCTGCCAATTGCAAGGTTGAGACACAGGATCCTTTGGGAGCTCAGTCTTTATTAAGCAACATGGAGAAACCCTGTTGTTTTAGAAATTTGAAGGAAATTAGAAGGGTAATTGATTAGTTTGTGGCTAGCTCTACCAGCATTTCTGTTAATCCACAGAAAGACTGATGAACAAAAGGGAGTAAGTGGGGTCTACTTTTCATATATTAGAATTTTCTTCCC